ACAGGCTAGGCTCCTAGACTCTTGCTAGAGCTCTGTTTACTAGTGTTAATATTCAACACCACGGCCCTATGCGCACTTGTACCGTATGCATGCAGCAGTCTGCCGCTTTCTAGCTGCGTCGCGATCGTTGGCTCTAGATAGCTCTGCCATTGCTTCATAAACACCGAGTAGACAAGTCAGTTTCTTGAAGTTGTAATTTGGAGGTCTTCTCTTTCTTCTTCCTTTGATTGTGCATGGGGATTACAGCAAGCAGATCAAGCGGACCGCGCGCGACCATGGCACTCTCAAAAGCACAGGCGATTGTGGATGCAAACCCCGTCGCAATCTTCAGGTGAGGCGACGTTTGCACTTGACGCGCTTACAAAACATGAAACCGCAGTGGTTGGAAAGCTACCTGATGAGGAGGAGACGGATTTTTGTTAGGAAACATATTCTGCATCCTTTGAAGATCTAATGTGGGCCTTCCTTTCCCAGCAGTTTGACGATTCGCTAGAAATTGTTGATGGTAGCAACCGGCCCTGGAACAACATGTGCGACGATTGTTCATGACCAGTAATTGAATGAGATCGTCTATTAGGCTTTTATAATGTAAGATCCTCTCATAGAGGCTGTAGCATCTTATCCTGGAAAGTTGCCACGTATGTTGCTTTTAATTTCCATCTCTGCCAAACATCTCGATGGTGTCTGCTGGAGCAGACTTAGATGTCAATACAAACAGATGGTTTCTTCATGGCAGTTGTCTTCTTTAGAGTCTCAGCTGGTGGAAGTCCGCCCATGTGTCTCTTTGTTTTGGTGCGGCACTAGAGTTCATATGCATTCAATCTTTCATATTAGCAAGTTGTCATGGGAACCTGCTGGGTCTGTGTGTCAAAACCAGAGGTTTTTAACGGGTGGCACTGGCAACTCTGGTTCTTGTTGTGGCAATAGGTTGACTACTCGAATGCCAACACCAAGGGGATATTTCAACTCTGTAGTGTTCGCAAGCATTCGACAATTCGTTAGAATAGTTTTGCCCAGAACAGAAGAAGCGCTAGCCCTTCACCTGCTTTTCTATATTACGGGCAAGATTATCAGACTCTTGTGGTGGCCAGCTTTTCGCAAAGCTTCTCAGTGATTTTTTGAATCAACTAGATGTTGAAAAAGCCCCTGTGTTTTTAACCTCTTTGAGCAAACCTCCTTGCAGCAAAACATACTGCCCCTACTGCACGCGCGTGAAGAAGCTGTTCAGCCAATTGGGGGCCAAGGCGAAGGTCGTCGAACTCGACACAGAAGGTGACTGCTCTTGCCATTCCCTTTGTTTCAGTATTAGGATGGCAGTCCGAAGAGAGCTGAGGGGTGGCAGAACAGTAGTGTGTGTTCAAAAGCAGATTGACAATATCTGCTAGAACCATCAGCATTGTTGCAGGTTACAAGTCATCGTCTCGCTCAAATGCCGACCACTCTACCGGCTTCTCGAATCCTCGGGGTGTAACGAACCCAAAATCTCGGATTGTAATAAACTCCTCTTAGGAAAGAGACGCTGCTGTCTCTGGCGCCTCAGAGGACGAACTTCTGGTGTGGGGGCTTCTGCAAGGCCTCAGCATGTTCTGTGTGACGCGCCTCTGACGCGGTGTTTTGTCATAAGGAGCGCAAATCCTTGGTGCTTCTGTTCTGGACCCTCGTCTGCAATGTCTGGGACAGACGGCACAGCTGACAGACTTTCTGTCACGATTTCATCATGAGCAAGTGTAGTGGAATCCTTTTAAAGTGGAAAGAAGGGCTGTGCCCTTTGCAGCCTACATGAGCGCGCATCCGTTGAACGATCGTTTCAAACTTTTGGACTTGAATGGACTTTCGGACTCGAAGTGCCTTGCCACCCACTCGAAGGCAGTCCAGGGGACTGACGAGTACGACTAGGATTTTGTAAGTATGCAGGGGATTCGACTCCGGATATTCCACACCAGATGTCGACCGCCCGTCTTCTGACTTAGCTTGTGCGGATGGGAACTGCATTCGACGCCCATAGTTTCATGGCGAACCACCTGGCAGTCCAATTTGCTTGCGCCTTTTGTCAGGCAAAGCCCATTTCAACAACGCTCGTAAAGCGAAGCTCCTGACGTTGCTTGAATTGCTCGTGCTTCAGAGGACGGCGATGAGATCCAAAACGCCCTGGCTCAGATGACCGGACAGCGGACGGTACCAAATGTCTTCATCGGGGGAAAGAGCATTGGGGGCAGCGACAGTGAGTTCTTCTACGATCTGCTTTTCCGCATCTCTTGCTCCGCTTGCACCGTTCGTTAGTCTCTACTTCACTGTTGTGTCCTCGCTTCGAAACGTGTGTCGATCCTCTTCTTCCAACAAGTCGTGTATAGCTCAATCTAATTCCCGTGGTTCCGTTCTCGGTTCTCGCTGGCTCCTCATGTTCCTCTTCGTTCTCCTCGGCTGGGCGGCATATGTCTCGAAGCCGATCAAATATATGCTGTTCCGTCCGTTTACTCGTTTCATTCTCTTGTCCTTCCAAGCCAAAAGCTGTGCCGCATCTCTCCTGGATACTGGTGGTCTTTCTTTGTTAGGTTGTCGACGCTCCTTACTTGCTTCTATTCTCGATACGTTGGTTGGCGACAGGCTCTCGTTGGGCCATGCCAATGACTAAAGGTCGTCAAATCCCGGTTTATCGTACTCTAGTCTGTGACTGATTTCTGTACTCTGCGCAGGCACTAGTGCTTTGCACAGCCAGGGGAAGCTGGTTCCTCAGCTGCAGGCTGTCAAGGCTCTTTGAAATGGAGTAAGTTCTTGCGGAGGTTCTTGAGGATCTCCGCACGACAATAAAGCTTCACAACTGAATGCTGGCCGCGACTTGCATACAACTAGCTCGTGGACTTTGTTTAATGAAAGTTTCAGTCCTCGAGGGGTGTAGTCTTCAAGCGCGCGACAGTTCTCTCTTGGGATGTAAGTTCATAAGCGGTACCAACGCTCAGAGACCACTTATGTAAAGCTCTGTGCATATACATCCTCACAAGTTACTGTCCATTTGCTAGAGGGCAAGCCCTTACTCGGCGTCAGAGGTTCTCATACAAGGCCAATCTATGTTCTTGACGGTCTGACCTTAGCAACCAGGTCACGAGATCACATGGCTCTGCACATACGCCTTCTCAGATCGCCTGCATTCGAACTTATCGCTTTCGCACATACTTGTCGCGATGACTCAATGTATGGGCAGAATTATACAAGCGGAGTCAAGCTTTACTAAGATATGTACATACGTAGGACTAGGATCGAGATATGCCGATCTTGTGTCGTGGGCCACACGCGTTAGTGTAATACATATAGTATCGATCTTGCGCCTATCAAATCATAACAGATATAATCATGCACTAACGATTATAAGGACAATCACATGGTCACGGTATACATGTGGCCCGATCGATCCTCGCGAGGATCACTGGCAGCCGGCTGGCAGTCGTACGCACATATAGTATCTACACGTGTATGCGCCGGGCGCGGCCGAGGCCGCCGCACGTGCCGTCAATGATCTGAGAATCGGGCCTCAGGCTATAATGGATTTCTGTTACATGTTGGGGTGCACAATGCGTGCACTGTTACGTCGGGCATGCACATCGAGCGGGAGTTGTGATTGGCCGCCGCAGCAACACGCATACGTACATACAGCATACATATCTCATCTATGTACGTACATGGAAGCTTAACGTACGTTAATTGCATTGAAAGAATAGAGTCCGCCGACCCCGGGGAAGCAATGGGCCCGGGAACGGCAATCTAGTGATTCAAATCTTAAGTCTCACAACGCTTAGAACACTGATAATGCAAAGATTGATTCTGATCGATCCTAGATGCTGCAATCTGACCGTTGTTGCAATTCCGTCGAGCATTTGAAAGCGGCTTGCAAACTGAATGCGTGCCAGGCTAATATACAACAAACTCGCTTAAAATTCTACTAGTACTCATACTTAGATGATCTATCCTCCTTAGAAGTCTCTTCTTTGCTTCTTGTTTATACATGGCTTCCAGGACAGTTCTTTCGTTGCTATCAAACTCGGGGCAGTCAGCCGTTGCTTTGCTCAAGCAGAGCGAAGCTGACATTGTTGCGACCAAGTCAGCCGCTACCACTGTTACCGAATGGGCTTATCTCTGATCCACTTCGTTGCCACCCACTTCTGCCCTCGGACGACTGGACAACTCCCGTGAAGAGACGTCTACATTGCAACGGAGGCACAAAAGTTAGGCTGCCATCTCGAGTGAGAAGCAAGAAAACCCAGCGGGGAAAAACCGTAGGTACGCAGATAACCAAAGCAGTAAGAAAACGTACTGGAAGCTAACAACTTGCTTCAAAACGCGTTGCTTCGTCAACCGCCTTGAAGTCGCGACTCCCAATTGGAGACAATCTGGCATGAGATTCTCAGGACAGACTAGCATGGTCTTTTCAGCATCTCAAACCTCTGAAGTGAAATCCATTTTGCTGTAACCAGGACGTTTAACTGCAACCTCGTTTATGACAGAAAGAGCCGCGAGAAAATGCCGGTCAAGGAGCCTTACCTTGTCGTACGAGCCGTTCGGCGTCAACGAGTAGAATAGCAGCCCGTCCCCTTTCCTGGGCTTTACCTTCAGCCCTATGCACGCCTGGAAGTCATACCCACCGTCCATGTTCTCGCCGTTCTGTAAACACAACAACACTCTTGTGGTTTTCAGAACCGGAAGGTACTTAGAAGGTCTATTGAAAGGAGAGACGTCGTCGGGTTGCATCCGAGTAGGGGTGTTCTGAGGGAACCAATGCCAGACTCCTCTAGCTTGTTGTCTGGTGGATTCGAAGCCAAGGGCTTTGTTCAAAGGGAGCAATGCTCAAACGCATCGAGAAACGCGTCGCGTAGCACAGCAAAAAGAAACTTGTCAAAGACTCGTTCTTCCTTTTCTCTCCGACTGCGGTCTTTGAATATCGCATGCTCTAGATTGAAGGGATCAGGTCCTATCAAATCTCGTGTTTCCATCTGTGAGGTAATGTAGCATCTTGAGCTCCTAAAACGCTTGCCGCTTACTTCATACGGGAACATGGTCTCCCCGCCCTCCTCCACGTCACTCAGGTACAGCAGAAACGATGCCATCTGCAGTCGAGACTGTGATTGTCAGTCCCAGTATTTACTCACAAAAAGGCGCCGGGGAACCCAATTTTGAGTGGCCTCTTCGGCCAACGCTCCGCTCTGGCGATTGCTCAAAGCAGCAAGTGGTCACGGATTGGCAGCAACACTTAGACGCACCTCAGAAATCGCTTAGCGCTGGCAAATCACCTGGGCGGACGCTCTCTTTATGAAGCAAGGTTGAATGTTTACAAGCCGCAGTATGCCCTGGACTTGAGGTTCAAAATCAGACAAAAAGAAACAAAGCGGTTGAATAACCGACTAGCGGCGAAGGCATCTTGACCGTTCGCGCACCCAATCGGACCCGCTTCGCGCGTTCCTTCTTTCGATGCAGATAGTTTGACGCACACTCTCCATACTTTGGAGGAACTGTTGAAACCCTTCGTAGGAAATACTACTTCACCTAAGAGGACGAGACTAATTCCATAAATATTGGTACTTTCGACGCTGGCATGCGTCATGGGAAGTTCCTCCATTCCAGCGAGTCAAAATCTTCGAAAACGAGCTCAAGCACCGGTTTCAGAAATCGCGACGTCTTACCCGTTGACTATCCTGCGGCCCGTATTCGTCCGTGGCAAAGTAGTCGTAATGACTGTTGTACTTTTGTCCTATTTCGTATCGAAGCACGTTGAAAGCCTGCAAAAGTAGAGCGGCTCAAGCTTGCAGGAAGACCAGGACGTGTCCGCGAGCATTGTTTTGAGATCGTGACAGAAGTTTGGATTCGATTAACGGGATGGTCGGAAGGCGCGTCCGGGATGTTTCTGCCCGGATGCGAAGTTTTTGCAGTGGAGTTTGACGAAACTTGGAGCGAAGATAATACGGAACAGCCACTCCTTTTAAAAAAGGGTTGAAGTACTGCTTAGACCATCTGCAACTGCCAAGGAGAAGGTTCCGGAGCGGTCTATCAGTTATGAAGGGCTCTTAAAACAAGCAGACTTCAGAAAGCCAAGCTTTTCTGATGAAGGCGGCAACATGTGAAAGCGATGACCTTCTTCTTAGCACTGGGAGGCGTATGGATATGTGCAACTAAGGCTCGTTCGTTGTCCGCGAAACACGACAAAATTTGATGCGAGACCTCTTTCTCAACTTTCAACATGGTCAAGATCAACTCTAAAACGCCACTCTCTTACCCTTGAAAAGTGTGGATTGGTACGGATTGGAAAGTTACTCGGTGTGCTTGATTGTTCCCGAACCAGGAAAACACAAACCGGGTACTTGTTAAAGCAAGTGCGCTAACACTCACCTCTCCATGCTCGATCGGAATCATCGTCGCCTCTGAGATCGCCCTCTCAACCCAGTCCAACGAGCCCGTTACATCCTGATGCGCAGCAAGAAAAGTCCCGGAGCTGCACAATTGGTGACCAATGAGAGTTTGCATAGGGTTTGCGTCATAACAAAATTGATGGATTTGTGTCACCCGAACACGTTACGACCTGTCAGCCAACACTTTTTTGCTGTACGTGGACAAAAGTATTCAGGTCTTTCCGAATGTCGTCTTTGGCCACTCTCCGACAGAGTCAAGTTTCGAAGGCAGCTGTCCGTACAGAGCTTGAGAAGGCAATAAAACGTCCATCGCTACTCAGGGCTCGGTGATACAGCGACATTGTTTGGCAACGGCGGGAATTTCAACGGCCGCATTTAAGAGACAAGAGCCCCGTGCTCGAACTGTGACTGGTCTGAAGGAGCTCTGCAAATGATGAAAGAACCGCAGAGAATCAATAGCTCATGCTCGGTCTCTCGGGCAACTCGAAGCTTACAGTAAAAGTAAAAGCAGTTCCCATCCACAGGTAGGAAGCTGCCGACTAAAAACTCCAGTATGAACAGAGGCTTCGTCGGAATCACTAAAGAGTCACCTTTTGTAGGTCATCGCTCCTCTGTAGTTTAACCCAACAAGCAAAGTGCTCGTCAGGTGAAAACTGGAATTCCGGCCAAGAGCCAATTCTAATCGACCTTGATCCGGGAAAGTCGTACAAAGGAAGGTCAGTGATGCACAGAGCTGGGTGGCTTTCTGGTGACCCCACATTCTGAAGACGGGTAAAGAGCCGTACCTTGTCCGGATATCTTTCGTCGTCTCATCCGTCTCTCCTTTCCGCAGAGCCAAGCCTGACGGTGCGAGCTGCTTCTCAGCGAGCTTCACTATCTCGTCACACTTCTCAGGGGGCGTAAAGTTTCGGAAAAGTACAGCTCTCGGCTTGAAGCTGAGAACCTGTGTAACAGACAACGGACGATCAGCCAACGAAGGAAAGAGAGGGACGACGCGGCCAACAAGAGATGATTTCACAGTATGAATGGATCTTGCCATTATGACAGCACTTGAAGTTTCATAGAGAAACTCGGCAGAAACGGGATGCAAGTGAACCAATTCTTTTTGGAAAAACATGTAAAAAGTAGCAATCTTTATTAAAAACGCAAGACCTCCCTGCACTGCTACAGTAATCTAAATATCAACCAAAGCAGAACAACCAGGAACTTGCACCCCAATTGTCTTCGAAAGCCGTTCCTTCTCAGTTTGTTGGCAAACGAAGCGTGTCTGCAGGATAAAGAGTATCCGCTTTCCTAATAGGATAATCTGAACTTGATGTTGGTAAGCCTACTTTACAGCGGCAACCAGAAACACTCCCGTCCTAGCTGTGCAATCGAGCGCGAACATTTGTCGAAGAAAAAGGATTGAATCAAAAGCCCCTGAAAGCTGATGTAGAAAGTTGCAAGACATATGAACCAAACCCAAGCTGTAGTTTGGGGTTTTCATTCTGTGTTCGTGGCTACCGGTTAGGCACACGCAGGTACTTACCTGGTAGTCAAATCGGCTCAGGTACGTACGCCCTGTGTCGGTGACTGGCAAGATCTCTGGCTTTGTTTCCTCCGCCTGCAGACTGGCTAGTTGCTCCTCAGACACAGCTTCGAGCTTCCGCCGACCAGAGTACTCATGAGGTTGTCCCACGGCAGGCTGCAAGAATGATTGCTAATCATTGTCTCAGATGTAGCAGCGCAATCAGCGACGCTATTCAAGGTTGTGGACTCCTAAGAGCAAGAAGCGATGTCAAAATGCCTTCATCGCGGCAGCCATTCCTGCTTTTGGGGTGGGTGATTGGACCGCAAGGCCTAGAAAAGTCCTGTCAAGGTTGGACACGTGAAAAACTTGATAATTCGTCCATTCGTGTCTCTGGGAACAGCTTTCTAAGATATCCTCTCTATTCATATGGGTGATAGCTTCACTTAGGAGAGGTGAGACCAGACCTCACATGTGGTGGAGAGTGCCAATCTGACAATTCTGCACGACTGGAAACAGACTAACTTCTTAAAGGGCTCAAGTGCAGTTGATTCAACTATCTTGGAAGTTCAACTTGGCCTCAGATGTCAAGGGTGAAGCATCTTGTCTTCAGACCGTGTCAGGGGCCACGCTCTGACATGAAAGGGCTGTTAAGCACCCTCTAGATCATTAATATGAATATGGTTTGGCTTTTTCAGCATTTAAGAAAGCTGATGACGTTATGTGACATGACCGTACAAATTGTTTTCAGACAGCTGTAGCTGAAAGTCTCACACCAATCACTTTAGAAGTCTGCATTGCTCATCAAAGTGCAACAAAGCCCAGGGTTTCCGAACCATCTTGCTGACGCCTCCCAGAAGCTGCCCAATCAGAGACCAAACTCTACCAGCAATCAGTTTGGCAATCTGCATCACACCACTAAAATGTAAGCAAAGAGTCTCCGACCCAACTTACTGACGCCACCTGACGCTGCCCGATCAGAAGGCCGCACAGGAGGCTGCTGCAGCACAAGGCCAGGACCACAGGCAGCTTGAGCTTCACAACCCTGCTTGTCTTCTCTCTAGGTCGGGCCATGCGCTGTGATTTGACCACGCTGATGAGCTCCAAACCCTAATGCTGGACTTTGAAGCTTGCAGGAATATGTTTCTGGATAGAAATGCTGCTCTTATCCAGCCACGAAGAGGATGTGCTGAAGCCTAGGGGAGTGCCAAAGACCTGTACTTCCACCCAATTCTACGTGATCAAAGATGTTCCCCCCTCAATCGTTCCTCGGCGTCTGTGGTGGCTGCTGAACGAGCTAGCGAAGAAGGTCGCCTTTGCTCAGCTGGGCAATGCACATATTGCATTCCAGCGTCTGAAAGTTCTGTTTTCTGAGCGCCCTACTTTTCAACCTTCTGACTCTGACCGAACTGCACAGCCAAGCAATCGCGCTGGTTCCGGTCTGGTTCCGGTGGCTAGCTGAGCTTCAGACGTTTCAGAACTTGAAGGGCCTTGACAAGGCCTTGCGATGTGGGGCGTCAATGTAACGCTACCCGAAAAGCTGGTATTAACGTTACGTAGCACGACTTGTGTTCCACATGAACGGCACCCTTCCTGCCGGGCAATTTAGGTCTTATATGTAGAGGTCTGAGGGATGCACAGCCCTGGCGGACATGCAGATACGGTACTTGGAACTTGAAGGGAGCGCCTGCTGTCTCTGAGAGCGCCTGCTTGCCCTCTCTGAATTGGCCTTTTGTTCTCTGGGTTTCTGCGAGAAGGGGCTTTAAGTTTCAGAAGGTTTGCGCGGACAGAGCACGGAGACTGGCAGTGTAAAATTGACAGAGAGACAGAGGGGATCGGCATACGCACACCCCTAATTGGGCCTGCATTCGCATCTTGGTAGCCTGCCGCTCACATGCTCGAGCAGCATGGCGCAAGTGAAAACGGTTGACGAGCCTCTTTACCCCATTGCAATCCTCATCGACGAACTCAAGAACGATGACATCCAGCTTCGGCTGAATTCGATCAAGCGGCTCGGTACGATAGCAAGGGCTCTGGGGGAGGATAGGTCGCGCAAGGAGCTCATTCCGTATTTGACAGAGAACAACGATGATGATGATGAGGTGCTTCTTGCCATGGCTGAAGAGCTTAAGGGGTTTGTCCCCTATGTTGGGGGCGTTGAGCATGCAAGCTGTCTGCTGCCGCCACTGGAGACACTCTGCACGGTGGAGGAGACGGTCGTCAGAGACAAGGCTGTCGAAGCGCTGTGCAAAATTGGGTCGCAGATGAAAGAGCACCATATTGTGGAGCACTTCATCCCGCTTATCAAGGTGAGAAAGTATGGCAGCACGCAAGGATTCAAGCACACGTAGTGCAGTGAATGCAAGCAAGCCTTTGCAAGCTTGCTTTGTGTGCCGGCTTCTTGCGCTTCCAGAGGTATCTGCATCAAGAAGTTTCTAAGCAGCTTGGGCCTAACCTGTTGCATTGAGCACATTGACCAGACCTGTTGCTCCTTATTCTTTGAGCTGCGTAGCTGTTTCACATTCAGATTGCTTGAGTCTATTTAGCAAGGTTGATTCTATTGGTCATGTTAAATGCAGTTTTAGATGCAGCAGAACGGCAGCAGCAGTTTGGGTAAACATTAGGGAACAACCTGTTGGTCTGTGATTGCTGATTGGCTTGCAGTCCGAGGCTGTAGCAGGAGTGCTGGTTTTGGCTTCTCTCTTCCCTTTGGAAGCTGGATCAGGTTCTCTGTTTCTTACTAACAATGAACAAATCAATGACTCTCCTTACTCGAAAGCGACGTCAACTTTGCATACTTTCCTTGACCCCAGATTTTTAAGCTTGCTGCTTGTAGTGCAATGGATGTGATTCGCAACAAAGATTGCATCAGCTTTAGCAGGTGGCGCATTTGAACCTGCAAGTTTCCGCTGAATGAGCTCTGATGCTTTCGAAGATTGTCGCATTCAGTCCTTGTGATCGTAGTACACCCAGCTTTAGCTTACTCCGCAATCTGATGATGCATTGAGTCAATGAATCCGTCTTCTTACCTTTGCAGCGATTGGGCACTGGGGAATGGTTCACCGCACACGTTTCAGCGTGTGGCCTCTTCCACATCGGATACCCCAGCGCCACTGACCCCCTGAAAGCGGAGCTGCGGGTCCTGTATGGCCAGTTGTGCCACGACGACATGCCGATGGTCCGCCGTGCAGCCGCACTCAACCTGGGGAAGTTTGCTGCAACGATAGAGCCGCAGTACCTGAAGGGCGAAATTATGATGTTCTTCAAAGATCTCACACAGGATGGTAAGCGGACTCTTCTTTCAAATGGCAACCTGTACATAGTTCTCCAGGGTAATTCCACAAGAACTCTGTGGCAGGAGAAAACAAGCCCCAAACTTGCGGAGCTTGTCTAGGAAGCTGCTCATCCTTGTTGTTGGTACTGCTTGCTGTTATTTATGTTGCCAGCTGCAAGGGCGGTCAGGAATCCCAGTTTTAGGAGGCGCGCCAGTTCTAACATAGAAGATTGGCTCGCAGATCAAGACTCGGTGCGGTTGCTGGCTGTGGAGTGCTGCGCCGCTCTTGGCAAGCTGCTGGAGCGACAAGACTGCGTGTCGCATGTGCTCCCAATAATCATAGCCTTTTCACAGGTGAGCTGCAGTAGCTCATCTGCTTGCAATATTTCCTTGACAAAAGTGTGGCTGAAGACTCCACCCCGTGTTGGTTTAGATTGGGCTTATCTGGAAGCTTTTTGCCAAGGAAAATCGAATGGATTCAGAGCCTCAAAGCTAGCGATACCTTCTTGCTAATCAGGCTGGCAGCCTGGCTTGGAGCATGATCATTGCTCAGAGCCAGTTTGTAGACCCGTTGCAAGTTTCTGCTTCATACTATTTGTCTGTCAGACCGATTGAGTTATCAAATTGAGCAACATCGGTGACCATATGGAGCCTCCGCTGATACAGGACAAGTCTTGGCGGGTACGATACATGGTGGCTAGCCAGTTGTACGAATTAGCGGATGCCGTTGGCCCTGACCTCGCCAGGTAAGTACACATCTAGTGTTGTTTACTCTACCCTTTCCTTGTAAGAGGACCTGCAGATCTTGGCTTTTGCGAAGGTTGCCTCCTGGCAGCTTCTATTCGTGCGCAGTAGCACAGCAACCCGTCTGAGCAGCTCACGCGTCTGTCCACGTCATGTGGCACGTTTAGTGCTGAGCTTATGTTTTGGTACTCATGCATTGCCTTTCTTTCAGCTTACGCAGCGCCGACTTTCTGACTTGCTTCATGTTGCAGATCGGAATTAGTGCCCGCTTACGTCCGCTTGCTAAAAGACAACGAGGCCGAAGTTAGGATCGCCGCTGCTGGGAAGGTAGCCAAATTCTGTGGCATCGTCACCCCGCAGCAGGCTCTGTCCACCATTCTACCGTGTGTGAAGGTGAGACTGCTTTCAGGATGCTATCCAAAGCTGCCAAGTGCAAAGTAGATATACTTCTTAAACAGAAAGCTCGGCGAACAATAAAAGCTCAGGCAAAGGATTCAGAGAACCGAAGAGTCAATGCACCTACCCTCGTAAGCGTTCCTACCGTTATAGCCGCACGAGCTTATTCTTGATTGTCCTCAGAAGCATGAGCGACGACCTGCTGTTAGTCTGCCTGATCGCACCTGCTTCGTCTAATGCTTGCAGGAGCTGTCGACGGATGCTTCGCAGCACGTCCGTGCTGCACTCGCGTCAGTCATTATGGGTTTAGCCCCCGTCCTTGGAAAGGTAAATCCACAGACCGCCAGTAGCTCACTATCTTGCGCAGCAAGTCGTCAAAAGCAAAGATTCTTGACGTGATGTCGCTGACATTCTTTTCGAGAAGGACACTTAAAGGCCGAGTCTTTGCATCTTCTTCTCGGTGGCTGTGTCCTTAAAGGCCGAGTCTTTGCATCTTCTCCTCAGTGGCTTTGGTTGTAATGATCGATGTATGCCCGGTTGATCGACTTCAAGCGCCCAGCGCGGGTTGACAACAAGGTTTCAAGCGCTTTGGATGTGCTACCGGGTTCCTTCTCATGGGGCTCGCTCCTGTTCAGTGTAGAAGCTGAATCCGTTTGAGTATGCTGATCGCGGTCTTCTCTCTTGGCAGGAGGCTACTATCGACCACCTTCTACCCATCTTCTTGGCGCTCCTGAAGGACGAGTTCCCGGACGTCCGATTGAACATCATTAGCAAACTGGACCAAGTGAACCAGGTTAGCCTTCGTTCGAGGGCGCTATGGGCGCGCAGCAGAACGGTCTGCAAGCAGTCTGCTCGTTTGTTCGCCCTGCTTCCAAATTGGAAGTCCAGTGCTCCTTCCAGTACATTTCGATTTGCAGGAACGTTTGCCTTGTCGGATGCTGCGGGCGCCAGATATTTACTGCTCCGATTTCTTTCACAAAGGTTCAATCTGCACTTTGCAGAAGGGCGCTCACTCGACCTCCCGTCCGACACTTCATCTTTCAGTATCTGAAATTTCCGAGATTTTTCCTTTGAGACCCGTGTTGGATTTCATAGAAGCATAAGGAAAAGCCTGCAAGGAGCACCCGTCCGCCCCTCCAGCTTCTTGTTTTCTGAAGTCCTTTTGTCCTGCGCTTATCCGTGCACCAATCAAAGCACTCTGTGCTCTCTCGACTTGCCTCCTTCCCGGTTTCCCTTTTCTAAGCGCTCACTCGGGTGAAAACCCTTAACGGAGTACACCTCCCGGCTTTTCAGGTCATTGGGATCGACCTCCTGTCCCAGTCGCTCCTGCCGGCGATCGTCGAGCTGGCCGAGGACCGGCACTGGCGCGTCCGGCTAGCGATCATCGAGTACATCCCGCTGCTCGCCAGCCAGCTCGGAATGGACTTTTTCGACGACAAGCTGGGGTCGCTTTGCATGCAGTGGCTGGGGGATCAGGTGCACTTCGTTCGCGGTTAAACGTGCAGGTTTTGTGTCATCAGGCAGGTCTGCAAGCAAACGTTGAATCGCTCCTATCTCTATGCCTGAAGGCGGCCTGTACCCTCATCACCTCTCTTATCCCAGTTAGAAGCGTCCTCTTACCTGGAGGTTTCATTTCAACATGTGAAGAAATTTACTCTTAGAAGAACCCCTGAAAGCGGAATATGATTCGGGGGTCGTCACTTGATCAGAAAGTGGAATTTGCAATGCGCGGTTGTCTTCGGACTCGGATGGACCCTAGTCCCTGGCTACTTGCGGCACCTTCAGCAGTCTTCTTAATTTCCACTCAGGCCCTACGCCCAACTCTTCCCGCGCCTGTATTCATGTTGACGGCCAGCTTTCTGGTTAAAGCTCAGTGACGCGTGTATCTCTTGGTTCTTTTCGAGGAGAAGTGTATTTCGTGTCCTCATGGGGTCGCTTTCTGCTTAACAGGTATACTCGATCAGAGACGCTGCGACCGTCAACCTGAAGAGGCTCGCCGAGGAGTTCGGATCGGAGTGGACGCAGACCCACATCATTCCGCAGGTGAGCCGTCGATCTAGAAACTGATTGTTCGTGACTCACTCGTTCAGCTCTCTCTGCTGCGAAACACCTAGGTAGTTGCCGGCCCGAAGCCGAGGTCCTGAGCTGATCTGACGATCTGGAAGCAGGATCAACTTAGTTGCTTCCGCCGACATCGACTTCTCACGGCCTGTCTCGGTTTGGGTGGTCGGTTCTCGTAACTGCATCTTTCTGGTGCCACCTTTGACAGTGCTTGCAGGCATTTCTACCACGCTGTTGACTGACCGAACTCTCAACACCACTTTCTCCGCTGCATCAGGTCCTCGAGATGATCAGCAACCCGCACTACCTGTACCGCATGACGGTGCTGTACGCCATATCCCTCCTGGCCCCCGTCGTGGGCAGCGAAGTGACGTGCCAGACCATGCTGCCCGTCGTCCTCAACGCTGCAAAGGACAGGCAAGCACCTCCAGCTTGCTCCTCGCCTCATCGTCAAAATACTACTCTGTTTGATTCTAGAATCCGAACTGAGGTGCCGTTGGTTTTGGCTGTGGCCGCAGATACAAGTTGGTGAACCCCGTCGAGGGCATAATCGAAATGAGACAGGGTCGCTCTTTCTGTTGGTGGGTTCTAAGATACGGCTAGTTTTGTCAAGCCTTGAAGCTACGTCTTGCAGCAGCTGTCCCCGATTTGTCGCCCCCAAGGTGCTTGTGCTTTACGTTGTGTTCTCATTCCTTATTTTTGTGATTGCGGTCCATGCCTGGATTAACCTTCCATTGAGGGCTGCCTTGAGTTGCACCATTTCTGTGTACTCGAACGCTTTCTGAAATTCGCTCAAGCAATTTCGAAGTGTCCGACATATCTGGACTTGCCAGCGTTTGCTCAGAAACACTCAAGAGCTCGACTTTGAAAGTGCAACCTACATTTTGCAGGGTGCCTAATATCAGGTTCAACGTCGCCAAGATGCTGCAGTCCATCATTCCTGTGGTCGACTCGACGGTAAGAATTCCTTTTGCAAAAGCCGTTTACTGATCAAGAATACGGATCGGAATTAAGCAAGCTTTTCCGTTTGGCAATCTGAGGAACCAAGGCTGGATAATTTGAGACTGAATATTGCCTGCATAATCTGTTGACGTCAGCTTTGGAGGTCGCTCGGTCTTGCTTGTCATTTGCCGATTGACTGCCATCGGAAAGGTTGAAAGGCTCGCAACTGAAGCTGTTTTGATCTTCCTAAATATTGGCGGTCCTTGTCCAGGCTGTGGAGACGAGCATTAGGCCAGCTCTTGTGGAACTCAACGAAGATGCCGACCAAGATGTGCGCTTCTTTGCTAGTCAAGCCTTGCAGAGTTGCGATCAAGTCATGAGCACTTGATCAGAAGCCGTTTGGAGGACGGTTAGGTAGTCAATCGATGGGAGATCTTATCCTTCTCGACGAATGCTTTTGTACATTTGTCATATGGTTTTGTGACAAGGGTGCTTATTGCTCATCAATCCTCAACGCTTGGCACGGAATAATGCTTGTGTGGTTCATTGTTCTACTGCACCGTACTTTATGGAATATTGCTTACGTGATCGCCACTGGTGTTTTGCTTGCTGATGGCCAACCTCAACCAAAAATGCACGACTCACATTAGACTAATTTGTGCAGCAGATGCTAATGTTGTGCAAGTGGCGGTGGGACCCATATGAAACAAATGTTGTAAGCGTATGAACAAACAATCGCATGCATGGCTGCTTGTGTCCATGGGGATTGCAACTCCTTGGAGCGGGGCCTTATCGATTGCATATGATTTACCTATGGTCGTCTAGACTCTATCAGGCAAGTAGGCATTGCATCAATCACATGGTTGCATGCGCAACATATCTACTCTTCAATGAAAATTACAAATCTTGAGCCACACATGCGCGTGCGCTTGCATGATGGCATGAGCGTCATAGTTTCAACAAACTGACCGTCCCCCAGAGGCGCGGCCAGCACTTTTGAGGGGGATTCCTCTGGGGGAGGGTCTAGTTACTATTGCATGGCAAGTCAGTATTCGACTTTTAGGGTTTGTAATCTGCAGTTTAGGCACAAGACCGGACATATGGCCAGCTGTCCGGCTCTCCTCAGACCTAGGAAGTAGCCATGGCGGACACGCGAGTGACACCATTTCCTGAAAGGCCAAAACTTCAAGCAAAAGGCTCGCAAAAGGTAGCTAGGTAGTTGGGCCCTGGGGCCAGCCGCCAGTAAAAAGTAAAAGCAGAAGTGTTCCGATTGGCCTGGAAGGTCCAGGGAGACGGAGAAAGCTTTGCAAGTAGTGTTGCTTTTTCCGTCATGGGGTCCAAGTCAAAGATGTCGCTGTCTGCGGATGCGGATTGGAGCATCCATGCGACTTCTGGCGCTTTTTAGAAGAGCAACGTAAGAGAATTGGGACACCAATCCACCCAGTCTATACAAATGACGTTCTCTTAGGAAAAATTTATTCAAATCCTTGCTTAGGTTGGCCCCAATTGCTTACAGCCTTCTTCGCATGCACGCTCTTAAGCCATCAATCTCAACACCAGTGTCAAAACGATTCAATAGGGCAGTGATTGGGACAGTACCTTTGGATGTGACAAGTTCAACACAATCTGGATTGACCAAAAGAGGGCAGAGGTTTAGATTCGCTTTTCAATCAGTGAAGCACATCTGCAGTCAGCAGGGCCTTCTGTGAGACACTTCAGATGGCTCTACTGTGTTGTCAATTGAGAGTAAACCTGATTAGTCTATTGTTTCACCTGTAGTAGCGACTGTTTACTTGGAAGAAGTGGCACTCTACATGTGGAGCTGTGAATCAAAAACCCTGTCCGTTCATTCCTCATGTTGTATGATTGGTCCTTGTTCTGGCGCCGGTGCTCGATCCTGTGCTGTCGCATGTTACCTGCCGGACACTGTCCGGTTACGGACTGTGGTGTAGTAACGGGCAATTGCTCAATCTGCACCAGCTTTTGAGGACCTCAGAGAATCAAGGGTCTAAAAGTGCTGCAAAATTCTCAAATCCAGGTCCAAATGGACAATGGCGGGGCTGCGCCCGTGCAAGACGACTTCTGCGCCAGTACTGCGGCAGCAAGCATGGAGTTTGACGGGTACGACTATTGGCCTTGACCAGACAGCTGGAACGTTCTATGAACACCAGCCTTACCTTACGCCTTTCAATATTGTTCAAATGAGCTCAGGACTCTTTGAGCTGCAGTGTCGCTCGGATAGGGCGCTGGAGCAAAGTGAAGTGTCTACTCAAGCTCAGCTACATTTTGGCGGGAACGAGCCTGACAGGATTTACGTTCAAGAGTCACATCAAAGACATACCACGAGATGCTCTCAAAGGGCCAGGTTTGCTGAAGCTCTATGAGGCCTTTGTACAAGGAATGATTCCATTTTGGTGACCTTACATGTGTTATGCCTCCGTCAGTTTGGCGGCTTGCTTGAACTTAGCCGCTGTTCTATGCGGTGAGTATTTGCCCAAGTGCCCTCTCGATGAAAAGTCTGCGGAGGAGCTTTCCGTGCCGGTTGGTCGAGCTGAAAGACCCGTGAGAAGCAAGGTGGGTCCGTAAGAGAAAACATGTAGTTCTAGCAGTGGGTTTCCGATCTGACTTGAAACCTGGACGAGGGGTTCTCTCAGATTGTTTGTTAAGCGTGCCTGCGAGTATCATACTTGCGTCTTGACTCTCGCAGGCACCTTCCGGAGGCGTCTGCAGTTTCGACCTCGTACGCATCGAGGGAGGGCGTTTACGCGGCGAATGCATGGCAGGCTCCTGCATTGTGGGGGGTGTCTGGTGATACAGAGGTGGGACGTACTGCCTAACGTGACAGCTGTACTGCGTGGATTGCATGTGGCTGCAGTGACCCTTCAGAGGTAGTCTTGAGGTCGATTAGAATCCTGGCAGTCTCCGTCTGCCATGGTAGTTGTCTCCGTCAAGAGTCGCTGACAAGACCGAAATCTGCCCGTCTTTGATGATTCCGAGGTTGGGATACCCTAACTCAATGAAGTGGGGGTCAGCAAGCTGTTGTTCAGGACAAAAGGCTCTGCAGGGAATGTGATGTTTAGTAGTCCAGAAGTTGGTTTGCCGGCTACTTCGGGTTTCTTCTATCCAGTTTTGCGGTGCCTTACGTTGGAAAACTGAACCCATTTGCGCAAAGGGCCCGGCGAAGTGTCTGCGATAAAAGCGACCACAAAGACGCCACTTAGGAAGATTCGGAAACGTTGAGCTCGCCGTTCCTGAAAGAGGTTTGGATGGACTGGACAACAGAGTTCTGTAGCCACTGTATTGGGTCTTACCGTCTGCGAAAGTCCGTCTTCAGCTGAAGAACTCTTTCAACTGTGCGACTGATGACATCGCTTCTTCTCGGCTCCCTTCCGAGTTTGCAACGAGCTCAACGCTGTGCATACTCGATAACGAACGAGCCCTCGTTTGCCAAACGTTTTGCACCCCCGGGCTTCACTACATTCTGTATCCCACACGCCCGGGCTTCACTACATTCTGTATCCAGCCTCTGACGTCATCATCACATTATTGTTGCAGCGGGGAGGTGGCGACAGTCCAAGCTCGACGGCCTCCGGCCCCACTTTCCGGATCAGCGCGACGGACAAGGACGGGCGGCTCAGCTCGCCAAGCTCGAGAGGAAGGCACCAGTTTGGGTACGTTACAAACCCTGTTATTGTCCTTTTATGAATAGAACCCCATGAGTGAGCTGGAGCTGGGAGGTAGGTGATCTTGAATACGCCACGATTGTGCTGTCAACCGTGCAATGTCCAAAAACCAGTCGCGGTTCGCAGCTGTTGAAGGCCGGACAAGCTGTCAGCAAAACGAGACAGCTGGCAAGGGACAGCTGTTTCCTGCGTGCAAAACGTTATGTACCACCAGACTGGAAACCTTGGTTAAAAGAACGAAAGCGCTTGTTCGGTCCTACGCCGATCTCGACGCAGCTCCGTCGAGGGCCTTGTCTTGTTATGGTCAGCGAGCAGTTTGGCGTGGTTTTGAATGGGGGAACTGCAGTGCAATTGTCGTTTGTATCTGACAGCGAACCGCCTCTCTAAGTCGGGGTGGTTACGCGTCGAAGCCCCTGCAAGTGACCAGCTTTTAAGCCTTGGGGTACTGCTTCGCCATAAGTGCCATATTAGGGCGGTACGATGCACTCACCATTGGACCTTGAGACGAGCTTCCCGATCCAGTCTGTCATCGCTGCATCTTCCTCGACTTTTTGCACTGTTCATGCGGGTGACGCCATCCGAGCTCAACAATTCGAGCTCGGTTCTGCTTAGAATCTTGTGGGTCCGCTGTGCAGTTTGATTCAATTGCAACTAAACTCCGATTTGAGCTTCCTTTTCGCCTTGACTCTTTCCTCGCGAATCAACGGACAAGTCTCTGGCGCTCTCTGCAGCGGCCGTGTCGGCGTGTTCGACACCGACACCCTGCCGAGCCCCAGCCACCGAGCGACCGCGAAGGACCGCCCCGCGCCGTCCAAGCTGCCCAATCCCCTCAAACGCGTCCAGCTCTGCTCGCAAATCCTAATGGTCGCCCTCTGCGTCTTCACCGTCATCCCGTTCGTCTACCGCGTCCCCGTGGCGCGTCACGGGCTCATCTTCCCGAGCGGCGACCGCCGGTTTCTGTACGCGGAGCTCTCCCCCGGGGACCCGTTTCTCGTTCCCGACGCGGGGCCGGCGCCGCCCGGGAAGACGCACTTCGGCCCCGGGGTGATCGACGCCGAGAAGGTCCGCGCGGCGGTGCTCGACTCGGACGAGCGCGCGAGGGCGGGGCTCGTGCACGCGGTCGCCGGAGCGGGCGCTGACTCGGGCGAGCCGGCCGCGACGCCCGAGAGCCACTTGGATGATGTCACCCCGTCCAACACTACCGGTGGGCTGTGGGGCGGGATCTTCGCGGCGGCGGTCCGGGAGGAGTTCGAGTGCGACCGGTCGTCGCCGCTGACGGACGTGTGCACGATCCGGGGCGACGTGCGCATAAACGTGACGTCGGGCGAGATCGTGCTGTTTGCGCGCAACCCGCAGACGCCGCGCGGGCAGCGGTTCATTCGGCCGCACCCGCGGAAGTGGAACTGGGGGCTCATGGAGGGGAGCGTGACGCAGTTCACGGTCCAGTCGGTGGATTACAACGACCCCAACGCCCCGGTCATGGAGTGCGCGAAGCGCAACACGGCGCCGGGGGTTTTGTTCTCGGTCGGCGGGTTTTGCGGGGGTGTCTTCCACGACTTCAACGAAGTGTACCTGCCGCTGTTCGAGACGACGCACTCGTACGAGCGGGATGTCGTCATGCTGGTTGCGGATCTGAAGGGCGACTGGTGGTGGCACGACGCGCCGCGGCGGAGCTTCGTCGGGGCGATGACGCGGCACGCGATCCGGCTCGTCGGGCGCGGGATCGACACCGAGAGCTACGCGCAGGGGGTGGAGTGTTTCGACCATCTCACGTTAGGCCTGTACCAAAACCTGTGTATGTATGATGAATTTGGCGGGAGGGAAAGCCGGGCGTTTGCGCGTTCGAACGTGAAAGACTTTGCGCCGTACGTTAGGAAAGGCCTCCAGATGCCGGAGCCCCCGCTAAAGTGGGTCTTCGTGCCGAACGACACGATTCCCGTAGTCGGAATCGTCCAGAGGATGAACACGCGGAAGTTAGTGAACTACAAAGAGCTGCTAGAGGTGGCGGAAAAAGAGGGGTACAAGGTTGTGCCGATCACGTTCGAGCACCTGAGCCCCGAGCAAGCCGCGGAGACGATGGCGAAACTAGACGTGTTGGTCGGGGTGCACGGCGCAGGGCTGAGCAACATTTGCCTCATGCGCCCCGGGGGGGTGGTTCTGCAAATAATGCCGTACGGAGAAGGGGGGGCTAGAAACATGATCGGGGTTGAGTATAAGAACTTTGCCGCGGCGATGGGGGCGGAGTATCTGGAGTGGAGCGTCCCGGTGCACGACAGCACGATCAAGGACCAGTACAGCCACTCCGACTGGATCGTCACATCGCCGCTCATGTGAGTGGATGCATTGTTCTTCCTTAGGATAACGGCTTGGGGTAGTCAAACATCATCCGGTCGTTTCTGAGGTTGAAACTACTGACGGCGTTTGATTGCGCTGCACTCGTGAGCCCTGCACGGTCATTAGGTTGACCTATAAGGACGTTTCTATGCCAGCATTTGCTGATAGTTCGTTTTTGTATATTTCTCTTGCTCTTTGTCGAGAAGGGGTTGCAGACGAGATGTTTGGAGAGTCGAAATCTGGATTCTGTCCGGTCGAGCCGAGCGAGAGATCAGGGAAGAGGTTCCTGCTTGCCACGTCCTAGCGCCTTTCCATGCTAGATAGCTCTAGAGGAAGGTGTTCAATTTGCAGAGTAAATCCTTCGTTTTCCAGTGGCGAGAATCCTCTAACTGACCACCTTAAGGATTCCAAAGAACGAACTTGACATTAGTTGGTGCGCCAGAACGTATCAGGTGCGAAGAAAGCGCTCCTCTCTTTGCAGGATCTGGAAGCATCGCGGGCAGGACGCGATGAACATCTACCACAGTCAAGACGTTGTCATGCCGGAGGACATGTTGGCAGCCTACCTTCGTCAAATTAAGAGGACGCTCCACTTGAAAGCGAGGCTAGCGCAAGAGCTAGAGGCCAAGTCATAGTGGCGGGCGGTTCGTAAGTGCAGCGTGGTGAGCTTTCCGCGTCAGCACCGCTTTTGTTTCTTTCGGTGTGACCCTTTCTCCGGGAGCGCAATACGAAGTCTATCTGTGGTCAAAGTGTGGCAAGCTCTAGAGCTGCGATTCGAAACCGGCAACGGGTGCGACAAAGGTTGAACGAAGTTGGAGAGGGATGGCAGAGAGCTGTTTGCGAAGAATCGAGGAGTGCCTCTTTTTGCGCGTCTAGTCTCATGGTAATGATCTGACAAAGACAATGGGTTCCTAGTACTGTGCGCTTGCTAATCCAGCAAAAGATTGGAGAACGCGAGGGAAGCTGTTGCTGATTTAGTTGCGTCTTATCTCCTGTGCAGGACTCCCTCACTCCGCTCCCGTGTGGATCCCACACGATAAGATCAGTCAATACAAAGGCGCAATGGTAAGCCGGGAATGTCATGATCTGGTTGTATCTTTTTTCTTGGTCCGATCCGCCAGCATGCTGGAGGGAACGAGTTTGATGGGTGTACACGAATCAAGTCTATCTAGCTTGTTTTGTACGTCTTGATTCTTATGAGCAACTTCGTAGGGCTTGAAAGTTTATATGTTCTTCACTGTTGCAACCCTTCCTATCCATAGTGACGACCGTTGAAGACTTAAGCTGCTCACGTGTCTGTTCCTCTTTGCAGCCTTCTCGTCGACTTCCGTGAAGTTTGACGAGTCGTGGAATCCGACAGCTATGAGATCATGTTAAAACGAAAGTTCGGCCTCGGGCAACCCTCGTCTGATTATCCAATGCAAGACGACCTAGTGGTAGAAATGCGAAACAGTGCGCAATGTGCATAAGCACAGAAGGCTTTACGAGTTGTCGCGTTTATAGGTGTTTATAGATTTGGACAGTCAGAAGCATCTGACAGCTGATTGCTTGATGTATGGAGAGAAAAAATTCTCCGAAGACCTGAATGTACGATGGACAAACTGAGGCCGGTGAACGCCCGTTCGCCCTTCCCTGCAAAACTGTCGATTCGTGCTTGACCGTCATGATCGATCAGAAGGGCTACCTGCGAGCTAGAGCACTGCAACAGGATGCCAGATGCAAAGCGGCGTTGGCACTATGCCATGTGCATGCGCCAAGACAACCAAGTTGAAAGTTGTTGCTCTTTAATTGGTGCATGTGGCCGCGCAAGCGATTGAAAAAGACCAAGTCAAAGTATATGCTTCATGCAGCGCTGCGGGCCTGGGAGCATGGCGAGTATCCACGGTCAGCGCTCACGTTAGAATGCATGTTTTGATTGATTGGCGCCACGCGCCACATATGCAGCTTCAGTCTTGGCGGCCGACCCTATTGTATAACTTACTCGTAGAATGATAAGTGCATGCACAAGAATCGATCCCAGTATATACTCAAGTGAACAATGTGACATGATCATGTCAAATTGTTCACATCTGTCGGCCATCAGTAAGCTGCACACCGGCGCTTACTCCATTTGAGCTCACCGAACTCTGTACATAATCCATGACAGCCTTGCCGGGTGAATAGACTCGATCGGAAGAGGTAGCCCTCACCGACTTACGAACGTATCAGAACCAAGTCCTCCCCGGCCTTGACAAGTACACAACATTTTGTTGGGAGTTGTCAAAAGTGAACCGCCGGAAAGCTCTACATGATGCGTTTCCCAAGTTGAAGGGACGCACACGCTGCACCATTGTACATGACCAACCTACCGGGGCCCAGAACGTCAACCCTACCACGTCTCCAAGCTAGCATAAATTCATGATATCGTGCAAGCTTAGTGTTAGGGCAAGTCAGGCCTATAGAGGGTCACCCAAGGTAGGCACACAATAACATCAGTGTAGGTAGTGTACATGCAGTGGTAGAGTAGCTTTTCTAATTAAACGTTCAGACTCGCAACAAAATGTGTACTCGCTCTCAGGTCCATGGCTCACGCTACGGCCTTATAAAAGATGCATACATACATACATCAGCTTGTCCGTTCTTACTCTGTCTGAACGCCCATTTAAGTCTCGTTTATATACAGTTCGAAGATTGACGTGTCAATACCGTGCGAGGCTCAAGCCTTGATGCTCTACTTTACAATCTAGGCACGCTTAAACGCAACAAAACACTCGCTCCTTTAGAAGTTGATGTCAGGTCACATGGCACAGATCGGAAGACTGCTTGGAGCTCCCTCTATGGTACCCGAAGGCGCCGTAACCCACGCCTAACCCAGCTAGCACAGCGAGAAACAACCCTCCATTGAAGGTCATGACGATCAACATGATCAAGTAACTGCTGCCGAGATTCACGGCGTATAGAAAAGACAGCAGAAAACGAGGTGCGGCGGTCCCAGGCCACGTTTTGGGTTTTCTTGAGGAAGTGGGTTGTAGGTCCGTTCTGCAGGGAGAGACTTTCGTCACGTTCTAATCCGAGTTCCTCTTGGAACAGGCTTTAGGTTAGGTAGCGTAAGGTTGTAAACCCTAGGAACGGATGGGATAGGTTCGCTTCCAGGATTCAGGTTGTTAAGGCTTTCGAGATCCAATCTTAGGGTAGGGGTACTGAGCACCTTGATCTGTTGGTCTAGATTTTCAAATCAGTCCGTTACTCCCAGCCAGGCAACTGTTGTACGCCATGCTACCCAATCGCAAGAGTACGATTGCCAGAACCCTCGCCATAGGGGTGTCGATTACCGGGGCGGAACATGGAACAATGAGTGCTCTGAACCTCCGGATCGAGCGGCGCCGTTCAAGTAAGGCAGGCCAGTCTCTCTGCCATGAACACAAGGAACCCCCAAGAAGCTTAAACCCAGACTTATATCCAAACTCAAACACAGACCCAAACCAGGATGGTGTCGGTCGGCCCAAAGAGCGGTGCAAATGCCCAAAAAAATACAATCCAGTTACAATGCGTTGCCTTAGGGGAGCTCAACGAATGGTGGCGGCCAAGCTCACTCTTGGTCCCGGCGTTGTGACGACCCCTCTCCGCTTGGCAACAAGTGGAAGTCGAGCGACCTGCAACCAATGTCGAGCCGATTGGCCGTGGTCTCTGGCCATCCCGAAGCTTATGAGATGGTGATTCCAAGGGAAGAATGTCTTTAGGCGCCGATAACATGAGACGCTGATCGCCTGTCTCGCTTTTGACTGCCAATAGAGAGCTGATTACGAAGGCACGTCAAGCAGACAGGGGAGGCTATCCGAGCCCGCGGCCCCTTTGGGCTTTTGAGGTATGGCTCTTCGCTCCAAAAGTCAGAAACACTTTCAGCGGCGAACAATCAAACCCTTGGAAGATCCTTCCCCCCAAGAATGCGATGAGTCGACATCAAGGTGCCAAACAACCAAGGTGCACTGAAAGGGCGCATTCCATAATCGCCAATGCCACGCGTAAAGCGACATGGAAACACGCGTCTTCCCTTTGTACAGTTGCTGTCTACGATTCACCTTTTCCCTGGACATAAGAGTCCCATGGATACGTCTCGCAATAACAATTTGTCCTTAGTTACGCGAACCTTAATATGCACAAAAAACAGCGGCGAGAGATAGAGGGACCACTCACTCGTCCGCCCCACTCTTTGACCGCCCCCGGAGCTCAGCGTCGAGGCTGGTGCGGTACGTCGTAAACCACTCGTGCAGCACGCAAAAGAGGAAGACACCCACGAGGGCGACGTAGTACTTGGGCCACGACATGATCATCCAGGGCTGGAAAAGAAGGGTCACCTAGAGAAGAGGGGGAAAGTATTGTCAGAATGATCTGCTTGGAGGTCCAAATGAGGAAGTAGGAGCATGAGCGGACCTCGAGAAAGGCGCCGCAGTGTTTGGGCCATGACATGGAGGGCTGGAGAAGAAGGGTTCCCCTACAGAAGAGGGGGAGGTAAAGACTAAGTGAGAAGTCTGGGGATGGGGTGTTGAAAGAAGGAAGCGGCAGCAGGGGCGGGATCCCGACTTGGGCGCCTGAATGCTGAGCAATGCTGTGATAATCCGGGCTGAAGAGAAGGGAGCTTTTTAACGCAAAAGGGATGATTTTAAAATTTGTGAAAAAGGGCGTAGAGAATGAGATGGGAGGACAGGAGGATTGACCGACACGGGGCTAGCAACTTTATCGTCCCGAACGTTGAAGCGGCGATAGTATAACCGGTAAGGTGGGGGGGATGATTCAGAAGAAACTTGCGAAGGGGGGGGGTTAACGCACTGGGGAAAACCCTCTTAGATGACCTGAAGTTTTGAGCTAGGATGCCGAATTGGATGAGATTGAGAGTTGTCTGCCGATGATATGGTGAGGGCCCGGGGAACTCAGAGGTTACTCTGAGAGGAAAAGGGGGGTGAGAAAAACAAACAATGGTATGGTCGACAACATATTTTTGTGCGGACCGCAAGTATTCATGGCTGAAATAGGCGGGACATATTTGCAAAGCTCTGGGGGAAAAGTCCAGCTTAAAGGGTCTCATCTCAATGTGGCGGGAAAAAGACAAATTGGTTTGTGAACGATAGTTCGTCAAGTGTACAAGGAAGCCGATCAAAGGATTCTCCATATGCAGGACATCCAAATCAGGCGGCTACTCACACGGTATCAGTAGTGCAGGATCAGAGTGGTCACTCCTACCCTCTGACCGTTATGACTTTAGAGTCCACTAAATGTGTCTTATTCTTCAACAAGATTTATACTGAACAATTCAGAGTTCATCTTGAGAATGCGAAATACTGATGGCATGCAGACGAAACCACATAACCTTAATATCCACTTAACGGGAGTTGTCAGACCGGTTTCCTTGAAGTTTCTGCGCTAATACCAAACTCGACACCAGATTGAAGTGTGTCGTGGATTGCCAGGAGTTCCAACTTCAAGCACTTCTAAAAACTAGGAAGAAGGATCCTCACAGCATTCGATGATACTTTCAGTAAAGTGAAGCATATTTTCTGCGAAGCCCAACAAAAGGTGTTCTCCAAAGGTTGAAGCATGCTTTTGGCAGAGCCCATGTCGATATCCTTGTATAGCCCTACTGCTTTTTCATAAAGAAAGGAAGAGCGCACCTCTGGACCCCAGTAAAAAAAAGAGTGCATCATGTGCATTGCATGGGGCATCGCCTGCGCTGCGGTTGCGACCGCCGCCTCCCCTGCCCCTTCCATGATCTAGCAGAGTTCTTGAGATCAGCCCTTCAAATCAGTGTTTTCTCTTGGCAGATTCGAAATTGCAGCTGCGCCTGAACTCAGGGGGGTTGCCTTTTGAGGGCCAGCATTAGTCAGTGTGCCAAGTGGTGAGCTGATAACATTTGGAGCTATTCAAGGGCGAGCTTCATGCCATGGAGCAGTGTGAAAAGTCGACAGAAGGGGCTCCCAGGCGCCGTGAATCGGCAGCTTGAGTTTCTCGAAGGGGTATACCTAATTAAACACTCAGGGCCCAGGCCCTGTTTTTGTTGAAGTCCACCGGAGCTTGGCTTTAATTTCAAACCGCCCTGCACCAGTGCTCTGGACAATGTCCGGATACTTGGTGCCCAAATTGCTCCAGGTAAGTTATTTCTGATGAGCGAGGGGAACAGGAGGGCATGCCTGATTCAGTGATTGCATTTGTGGGAATTATATCCTTGTGAGAGGAAGAGGGTCTACTGAGGTGGTGAGGTGGATCAGCTGTGTTACACCAGGAGGCCACTTTTTGATGGGCGATCTATGGGTGGCATTGCTCGATCTTGTTCATTCAGCTGGCGGGGGGAGAAGTTGCATCAAAGGCAGTGATTGCCCTTGCCGTGAGTCTGCGCACAAAATAACTTCTGTCTTATTGTGATAGAGTTGGCGCCGTTCAACAAGCAAAGACGCACAGCTGGCAGCGAAAAGGGCACGACTGGCGGGTGTCATCAGAAAAGGTAGATGTTAGAACAACAAAGACTGGGCGCCCATGTTTTGAAGACATTCAAAAGTAAGAAGCCGGTAGGAAGTGAACAAGGAGATCAACAATGACGTTGGTTAGTACTTTGAGTTAAATTGGATCGACATCGAACCGGCTCAATGAGATAAAACCTTCTCCCCCCAACTTACCAGAGGGGGATCCCCTGGACGCAAGATGGAATCCAGCGGAGGTCTGGCGTCGCTGGCGGACCGAGAATCAGAAATGATCCAGGGGGGCTTGAGAGAGCAGCTGGTGAAGATGTCGTTTCTAACGCCGTACCCCTGGGAAGACCCGGCGTTCCGAAAGGAGCGACGCCTGCCCAATCTGGTGAGGTTCAGGGGCTTTCGGGTGGGGATAAGCAGAGTCCCTAATTGTTTGGTTGTGGCAGATTTTCCAGCTTGTTTTATTGGGATCTGTCCTTCCGTAATTGGGTTCCTGTCCGTCCGCATTGTTGTTGAACAAGCTTGGGTAATCTTGTGCGCTTTCGGGCTTCATTATACATCCCCCGTTTGTCAAGACAAAGCGGACTGGAGTTGATTTCCCACAGCCCACCCGGGTGGGCTTCACTTATAACCTGATTCTGGACAGTGGCTGTCTCTCAGAATCACAAATGAGCATTGGCAAAACTTTTACCAGCTCACATCATCACACTCGGGCAAAAGCTGCCAGAATAAGGCATGCAAACGTGTTACTGCTTCCTGCAGAGCAAAGCAGGCACCTCATCTGAGAGGGGAGAATCATGTAACTTTGAAGAAAATCTATGCTTGGCTTTAAGGGCAGCCCGCGCTTCGCGACCCTGGCAGGACCAGTCACTGTGTGAGGGGGCAGTTCTTCTGCACTTTTGACCGTTCACCTTTCTGCAATCTCAATTTTCGAGCCACTAAGAAAAGTGTTACATCAGTCATATTTGCTTATCGTTCCTGTGTAGGAGCATTAGACACTGCCCAGCTCTTAGTGCAAGTAGTCGAGTTGCTGAACGTCGAGTGCTTGGCAACGTCAACAGAGAGTTCCACTTTTATGAGCTTGTGAAAGCTAGCCCGTCAGCATTTCCTTTCACTTGCGCCAAGGAGGATTGAGCGAGTGGCACTGAAGTGGATACAAAACAATCGTAACCGTACAAGCCATATCATGTTCACAACATACATCTCGATTCCTGAGATTGTTGGCCCGCTGTGTGGGACTGTCAAAAACTCAAGGAATTTCTCGGTTCATGAGGAAACCGGCCATGCCAATGTCTCTGGGTCGATTGTTTGTTGACAGTCTGGTTCTCATTCTATCAGAAACTATCAGGATATAGTTTTCCTTGAGAAAAGATGTGCTTAGGTAGGCCTTGGCTTTGGCCGACAGTCGCTTGATGACGTGACTTCGCCAACTTCTGGCACGGTCACTAATTGGAAAAAAGACCTAAAATAGTCCTGCATAGCTTGCTTTCGTGACTCTGCCTGCGTCTTGCACGGCTGCTAACCGGATAATGAACCCAAAATACTTTGCCATTTGCACGATAGCCGTTTTGGAGGAAGCCATCCGGAGAGAAATGTAATCTGAAAGTTCCCCGTGCGTTTGCAGCGGTACGGCGACCAGATCCGCGCCCTGTGGGTGACTCGGTGGGACTTCTACGAGAAAGAAGACATCGCTGACATCATGCGCACCACCGCAGATGCGGGCTTCAACACCGTCTTCTTCCAGGTAATTTTTCCACACACTCAGTGGCGTTCATTTACACGGACTGGGGGAGTCCACGGTTCAGGAAGTCGCACAGCTTTGGAATTGGATTGCGAAGAGCGATTCTCACAGTGGAGATGCCCATTCCAAACCTGGGATGGTGTATTTGGACTGAAGCGATTGTTGAACCCCTCGAAGCGCGGAAGTCTCTAGGTTCGTTCCACGCTGAAAGCTGCTGCGTTGTGAATTCATGTTCCTTTGACAAACCCTAATGACTCCCGACTATTGTTCGATTCCTTTGCAAGTGATGCACATTTTCCTCTTCAGGCCCACAGGAGACATAGAAATAAAAATAGCGTTGTGTACTAATGCGGAACCTCCGACAGGTGCGGGGTAACGGCACGGTCCTCTTCTCGAGCCGCCTCGAGCCATGGTCGGAGGCGTATCATTACCGCCACCCTGGGTTCGACCCGTTGCAGGAAGCGATTCGAGAGGCGCACAGCCGTAACATGGCGCTACACGCCTGGATCAACGGTGGGGAAAGCATTTCTTGGTAACTCAAGTCACGTTTCGTGTGTCGTAACCGCCTAGCATGACACAACGCGCTCCTCTTCTTTCCAGCTCGAGCGCTGGAATGAGGTCTTAAGAGTTGCCGTCGCTGTTCATCCGGGTAAGTTCGTGGAGCGTCAACTTCTTGCTGTTCGTCATTTGAACAAAGAGGCGAATGACCGGAGGGCGGAGCTGCAGCCGTGAAAAGAAGTCCTTCGTTTGTTTGCTCAGTCGATTCGTTGTTTACCAACCCAGTAGCGCAGACCTTCGTTTCTTTCAATTTCTCGCTCTTGGTTCCCCCGCTTGGTCCTGTCTGCGATGCTTCTCTCCTGCACTTTCCATTACCTCCGCCTTCTTTTTCACATTCCTCCCGTGAAGATCTCTGTCCTTTATTGCTATTGCAGGATTGCTTGCAAGCTTTGTCTTCCGGCTTTTGGGTCTCCTTATTCGTCACGAACGGGGTCCGGAATGCAAGCGAGCCTCAGTCGATCAGATTCGTCAACCAGTTTACTTCAACTTCATTCCAAATTTCAGCCAATTCATTTGACGATCATAATCTACAACCAGTGTGAATAAGCCCCCTTCTCTGCCAGTGATTCCCCATGTGGGCCGGTCTGCGCCCTTCTTCACACCCGAACCAACTCTGGAACAACCACCCTTTTTGGAGCCGGTTCGAGAATCTTTATTGAGGTCAAATATTTCTTCCAACTACCACCTTCCACAACTTTAGTGTGAATAAGCTCCTTCCTCTGCCAGTGATGCCCATGTGGGCCGGGCTGCGCCCCCCTTCACACCCGGACCAACTCTGGAACAAGCACCCCGAGTGGAGCTGGTTCGACCGGAACGGCGAGCGTCAGCCGTTGCAGCGGGGGTTTTACGTCAGTGCCAACCCGTGCCTCCCGGAAGTTCGCCGGCATATCTCGGCGGTGTGCCGCGAGGTCTTATCCAGGTGAGGGCATCTCTTATGCACAAATTGAGGCTCTTTTAAGTTCGTATCAGTAGTCTTTCTCTCTGCACGAAAGGCTTTCTTGTATAGAGAGGCGTACGCTCAACTTGTGACACACCGGAAGGCGTTTGGCATATCCCGGCAGTCAGCCGGGAAGTCCTATGCATGGGAGCCATATGATCTCATAAGCCTCCAGCACGAGGTCCTATGGAAGCTGCCAACCACTTATGTAGGAGAGTGTTCCTTATGCGAACAGTGTACTGCTAGCCGTTTGCACTCCTGACGATACGGCGACCGATCCCGGCCGTATGCTGCAAGGTCTTGTCTAGGTGATAGCATGTTCTTACGCACTCGAGTATATCTTATAACCCCTCTGTGTCAAGGTTCTAAGAACGTACCTTAGCTCCTTACTTAAATATAAAATTGAGCCGCTAACGAGCTGATAAGCCATTTGGCAACGCAGGTACGAGGTCGACGGCATCCACTTGGACTACATCCGCTTCCCAAATGAGTGGCCGGTCGAGAACGGGAGAGAATATCCCCGAGATGAGGTGAGAACCTGCATCTCCGACTTCTTCTTATACGTGACCTGGCATGTGTGCTAGAGCCGCTTCCGAGAATTCTCAGGGTCGAGCCGACCCTTCTTCCTCGGAAAAAGACGGCCTTGACTTTCCTGGAAAAGTTCCCAGCTGCATTTCGAGCATTATGATCACCACCCTTGATAAAACATCGCCTCATCATCATTGCTTTCTAATATATTCTCGATTGCGCTGTTCTCTGCCGCGAACGCTGGCGTCTTCCAAGCGGACACCGTTCTGGACAGCCCCGAGAGTATTAGCATCATAATTACGACGCTTGTAGTAAGAAAATTGTTTCATCATTTGTTTCCTACTCATCCGTTATTTGTCTCAGCGCACGACGGCGCTCTTCCACGCGGACATTGGTCTCGACCCCCGTGCGTATTAGCATCATAATTTCCGAATGTATCTCACAGTGCTTCATCGTCATTGCCATTCTATTACTTTTCGGTTGCGCTGTTCTCTGCAGCGAACGCTGGCGCTTTTCCACGCGGACACCGGTCTCGACAGCCCCGAGAGTTTTCCCGCCGTCTGGGACCAGTGGCGCTGCGACTGCGTCACGGCGCTGCTCAAAGACATTCACCGAGGTGTGAAAAGCCTCCGGCCGGCCGCGGTACTTACCGCTGCAGTAGGGGTCCAGAAAGACGAGGCGCTCGCACGCTTTCAGGTACGTACCGGGGCAGACTTTACGTTCTTCTTGACGACAATCATCGAGGTGTGAAAAGGTTCCGGCTGGTCGCGGTACTGACCGCTGCAGTCGGTCTTTACAAAAAGGCGCTCGCGTGCTCTTAGGTACGTACCAGAGAGACTTCCTGTTTTCTGCCAATTGCGGGACCGTTTTTGTGAGTGCGGGGGTGTCGGTGGGCGTGCCGATTGGAAGCAGGATCGAGTCACCTTTTTCTTTAACCCCTTCTGGAATCGTTAGGGCGACGGCGATCGTCCGGAAAGAAGCACTCCGCTCGCACAATCTGCTGGCACGTACCACGCACCATTTGCAGAGACGGGCGCGCTCTGGTTTTCAACGAGCAGTGCTCTGTACGTATGCAGACTGCCAAAGGTGCAGAGGCGCTCGCACTATCACTACGGTGCTCACTGGGGCCTTCGTTGTGGCAGCGTCGTCGATCGAAGTCATTTGGGTGCCGGCTCATGAACCGTCTAGAGTGGTCTGTCGGAATTTGTAATCAGACACAATGGACTTCAGGACGTCGGAATATGGTTGATTGAGTTGAATCTGCACTCAGGACTCTGGGGCATCGTTACAGATGCTGACATCTTCTTGTGTATATATGCAAACGATCCTCCCAATCACTTCTGTCTCTTCCAGGACGTGGAAACGTGGTGGAAGGAGCGGCTGATTGACGCCGTTATTCCGATGAACTACACGAACTGCCATCGCGACTTTCGGAGCAAGTTGGAGGCGGACTGGCGCGCGGAGTGGCGCGCGCTGTCGACATTTGCGAACTCGCTGTGGGACAGGTGCGCGCGTGCCACATGGCGCTCGCGAAAGGAACGGCTCTTGCTGCGTTTGTTCCGACTCTTCCTTCCGCTCGTTCCTGATCACGGATTCCGCTCGAGTTGCGCTGCTTTCAAGTTACGAAGACTTCTTGCGGCCACGTCCTTGTGTGTCCAATAAGGACAGCCGTTCAGGATCCTACGAAGACTCCCCACATTCCGCAGAAGGAACAACTAGGCGAATGGCAATGCATACCAAAGGGCATCAGAAGCTAGTTTTCCGTCCGCCATTTTGCGCAGGAGCCTCAAGGTTCGCGAGCGGCCGCGCCCTCCTCGGCCGTTACGGCGCACCTTCAAACGACTGCGCGACAAGTGGCGCCACCGGCAAGAGGAGCAAGCAACCAATCCCGACGAGCCACGTGGCCACCAATGGGCGCCTCCCCCGCCGCCAGGTGTCATCGTCGGGATGTCCGTAGAGTATGGCCCGACCGCCGCGCACCAAAAGCAACTCATGCTCGCCCTTCAGCGGTTCGGGCACTTCGCTATTTTCTGCTACTCGGCGCTGTTCGAGTCGAGCCGCGCGGGAGGCGCGATTCAAAACGGGGCTCCCGCCAGGGCCCGGCGCCGAGCGGAGCTGGTGCCGTTTCTAAAAGTGCTCGCAGCGGCCGCGGAGTCGAAGACGGCCGTCGTGGCTGCGGTCGCGAGCGCGGCGCTTGGGGGGCGCATCGCACGCACGCCGACGACATCCGCGGCGGTAACGGCCGCGGTGACGGGGGCGGTATCGGTTGGGGACGAGACGGAAGACGGCGGGCGAGGGTTGGAGGAACTGCGGCGGCGGTTGCAGGGCTTTCCGATGCACCCGGAAGAGGCCGCCTTTCAGGGGGAGAAAGTGACGTCAGCGGATGCGGCGGCTGTGCTCAGCACGCTAGAGGGGGGCCAAGAGGAGGGGGGCGAAGGCCTGGAGGAACCGGTTAGCGGGGTGGTTAGCACGCGGTTGACGGTTGGTGGACGGTCGGTTAAGGGGCCTAACGGCGAAATCGTGACGTTTCGAAGACGGACGTTTATCAGGGGGGTGAAGGCGAGAGATGAGAGGAAGAAGCAATTACGGGAGGCGTTTGGCAGGGCGACGAGTAAAGCGAGGGGTAGGGCGACGGGTCGCCCGAGCGGGCAGCGGCGCTCGGGCGTTAGCGAAGTGGACGGATTGGACGTCCGATTGGGGGGGGAACGAGATCAAATTGTGACACGTGTCGAGCTAGCGGGACTTGCTACCGGCAATTTGAACGGCATGCTCTTGTCACCGGAATTTGACGATGGTGAGTTGGTCGAATCGCCACTCCTAGATCCCCAGGCAGAATCTGGGGCGACTTCAGGTGTTAATGTGGGCCCGGTAGATACTTACTTAGTTGCGGAAAGGGACGCCGAGCTGGTCGAGAGTGTGAATGCGCCCCCCGAGACGCGGGAAGATATGCAGTGGGAAGCCGCAAAGCTCAAGGCAGTCACTACTTTCGACGACGCAACGGCAAACGGGGATAAAAGCTTAGCAGATCGAATCGAAGACGAGTCTGTGGATGTCCACATAGACAGAACGGGAGATCAAATCGAAGGGGAGGGCCGCACCGTATTGGACAGCGGTGCACCGTTCGGTCATTTATCAAGCATGCTTTTAGAAGGTGGCTTTGCGCGTTCTTTAGAAGGTTTCAGATTAAGAGCTATTACGCAGGTCCGACGGCTTCGTCAAATTTGAGGTGATCTTGGCTAACAATTCCATGTCGTAGATACAGAAGACTTGGAGGAACGACAAAACTTCCTTCGAGGCTCTAGTCTTAGAATGGACAATCAGGCATCGTTTGAAGGGCCGAGATAAAGGGCCGAAGACGAATTTGGACTTAGCATAACCCGAGTATATCGGCGATCCAATTAATCAGATGGTTTAGTCAGGGAGATTTCGGCTTGCTTGGAGTCCTAGACGTCAATTAAAGGCTCGGTACTCAGTAGAAGGGCCCGTGATTGCATGCCACCTTGGCGACGGCATCGATTGTGCATCTTTTGGCGATGATGCTGACGTCGTGATCACAATCAACTCACATACATGCGCCGGCCTGCCTGCTTGTGACGCGATCATATTGCGCCATACCGCCACATGCAATCCTGGCAGGCAGCGAGTTGTAGCCCGACGATCTCAGTGACGCGAGCACAACCGAACTTACAAATTCGGCAGGCTTGTGACGAGCTTAGACTGCACCGTTGAGGACAATAGTACATAGCTGGACAACAGCTCACATAGCTCCGGATTTACGCTCAGTGTGATCTCGCACTGCATAGGAGCTGAATGAATGATTACGATTACGAATCGATTAGTGCGACACTTGCCGGTGATCCGGTGCTCGATCAGATCTCCCGCGGGCGCGGCCCGGGCCCACCTTTTGACCGGCCGCACCATGAAGAGTAATGGGTCGTGCTGTGCATTTGCCCGTTGCCTGCATGGTGCATTTTCGGGATATACGCTTGAAGGACGACCTTGCAACCATCATTGCAGGATACTGGATACTCGAACCCAATTTCATAAGCGTTCGTTCGATGTGAGAAATAGTTGCTATTAGGACCGTTCCTAATGTACGTTTGACTTCAATGCTATACTTTACCTGTGCACATGCGCGGTGCTGGTCGACTGAAGGCTAGTCCGCTGAGCGCATCCTCCAAATCCTACGCGCGTTAACAAATCTATGATACAACTTACCAGGGCTCGTTTTGGTTCTCTTATGACGATCTATTGATCGGTTAGATCGGGCGTTCGACGCAAAGCGGGTATCGAGCATTTGAAACTGATCACCTTGTAGCTATTAGTCTATCCATTGGCAATTTGAAAACACCCCTCTACTCGCCTTTTCAGCTTTTCGGCAGCGACATGTCGAATAAGGCAGCATCGATCAGCAGAAACAAGCGGTCTAGGTTAAGAATAACCTCGGAATCGTCCCGTAAGACCCGGTTATCAGTTGGGTCCAATCCTGGGGGTATGAAGTATTCCCCCTCGCGAACGTCGTAGTATTGCGTCTGCAAGGCGATGGTAACTTGAGCCGCTAGACTGCCGACGCTTATGTCTGCTGTCAAATTACGATCGGAGAGCACTTCCAATGGGAAATGCACTCTTGCCCAAGAGACTCGGATACTTTAAGAAAGAAAGAAGAAGCGGAGAGGTTTTATATGGCTCCTACTGTTGTGATACCTGGATTCCGCTTGGATTTACCACAAGGAAACTGCATATGGGGCACGGAGTGCAGCGAGTCTGCAGGGACTCAATGTCCGATCTCAGATGATCGTAGATTTGGAGCGCTTTTAAAACCATTGGTGCTGACCACTTACCTTGATATGAGTTATGAAGTCCCATAGAGAGTCGTCCATATGCTGCGTTGTACCAACTCGCGTTGTTGGGCTTGTTGCGTTCAAATACTGCACAGGAGATCGCAGAAGGTCTTTTCAGCTTCTCGAGGCGCTACGAGGAACAGAGCCGTCGGATCCTCCATCGATATTTTCTGGAAGAGTAATGGTGGGCTCAACTTATCATCACGAACGACGCTGACAACGCAATTTGATCCCAATCATTTAATGAAACTCAAGAAAAATATAGTAAGTCGAGATGATAATATGGTAACCGCACTGGGACGGGTAGGGTTAGTCTGGTGGTTAGGGTGGGTACGGGTGCGGAGCAGGTATCTTTTTGGGTTACGATTTTAAGTGTTAGTCGGAGCTTACTATCATCTTGTCTTAAAATTATCTTTCTTGAGAGTTATAAACATTCTCCGTACCTGTGCCCACCCTACCCCCCTACTAACCCCACCCGTTCCGGGCAGGTTGTCTTATTAGCATTAACTTGAGCTCGGGATGATATGCCCTACAAAACACTCCTTTCTTGTTTCGGGAGCCAATGGCGAAATCTCCCACATCTCCAGTATTCAGGCGGCATGACAGGCCGAAAAAGAGACTGACCTGTTAGAGGACAGTCTCTAGCAACAAGCGGATCGAATCTGCTGAAAGCACCTTGCCATTTTCGCAAGCACACCAAGAGTTTTACATTGCTTGACGTGCTACTTACAGATAGGCAGACAACGCCGTCAGACAAGCCTGTAGCGGGTCACTCGCATCTCTAGTTTGTTTCCCAGTCGGACCAAGTGTTCAGTATGCCGATTCAGGCAGCCCTCTGAGCTTTTTTGACCAACAGATTGGACGGCAACTGCAAGACCTCGCCAGCTAAATTGGAATAGATTAAAGACACCCTGAAGCGTTTCAAGCCGTTAAACAACACCGTCTAACAAAGAAGCAACGATCCGCGACCACTGTGCGGTTGGTTGTCTCACCCAGTAGTCAGCCACAATTAGGTGGGCCCCCCTGGGCAGGAAAAAGAATAAAGACGAAGCTCCGCCAGGGGGCGAAACGACGACCGTCGATCTGGTTGTGAGCTCCAGCTGATCTCGTATCGGCATGTCTTCAACGTTTTCGAGAACGCGAACGGACAGGCCTTCGTACCTGAGAACGAGAGATGTCGAAGAGAGTAGAGAACACAAAAAGCCATAGAAATGACAAGGCAAACAAATCAGCTCAAACATATGAGTCAAATCACCGAATGGAAGCTGCCGTGAAAGCGACGGGAAATCAATCTGTGGTATTGCGGTGGCTCGAACTTCTTTATGCCATGATTGGCGAATCAGGAAATCGTTCGACTCCGTGCATTCCTCTGCCCAACGAGGTCAGCTCATTGATCAAAAGCCAAATCGATTTGAGTCAGATCCAATCAACGGTCGCACTAAGTCGGATCACGAGCCGGAACCGGGATGTTTAGGATCCTGAGTCCAGCTCACCGTTTCTCTTTTCTGATGGCTGCGAAAATCTCGTCGACGTTGTGCAACCCCCGCCGGCCCGACTTGCGGAAAATGAGAATGAGGTGCTCGGTTGGCACTCTGAGCGGATCTATTCTTAGTCCTCTCAAGAGGGAGTTCCGAAACTCCCACAGGGAGGCAGCCCGGCTGTAACGGATGGTTTGCGAGTGCTTTCCGGCAATGCACCCACTGCAACGGAGGAGGTGCAGAGCAGAGATTTACTAGCACGGACTTGATGTGAAAACTTCTTCAGGTTTTTCTGAGAAGAGATATCTGGATTTTCGGGACTGGATTCGAGACAAAGCGCAATCAGAACCATTGAAAGTACAGATGACCGGTTTGAAGAGCCTTTATTTTCCGACGACCTTTCTGGGCCTTTACAAACGACCAAGCCTGGACCCTTTCTCCCACGCCAGTCTGGCCGGGGCCTCGATTTTCCGTCAAAACCGGACGCCAGAACCAATGGTCAACTTTCGACCAAAATGGAAAAGTAAACCGTTGCTTGTTGTTTGAGCATACTGAAGCCTAGAGCTTCGGAAAAGCCCACATAATAGATTAGTTGGCAGGCCACACTCAGATGGGCAGAAGAAAGAACGAACCCTTTTGTTGGTCAGCGCTGAAGATGAACGTCAGGCTCACCTGTTGCCTGTTCCGATCAGCAGCTGCTCGAAGCAGACGATGTCCCCTTGCCCGCCGTACTTGGCTTTGATTCCTTCGAATCCCATGACTTCCTGGTCGGAGATGCCCCGCCAAAAAGAGTCGCTGAATTTTTGACACGTGCGCCTTGTCGCAGCTGCAACAATTGAGCGACGTGTTCAGTCATCCCATCGAAGCAGATTTGGCTGGCACAGAAAGTAGAGTCGCGCTCTGAATGTAAGAGACCCATTTTGAGGCGTACCATGACAATACACCGGTTCGGGCGGGAGTCTACATCAATCAGACGTGGATTTTGAGAGTCAAGAGCATAGCGGAAGGGGCTTTGAGATGTTTCCCTCGAAATGACCTTTGTGCAGTTTTCCAGATGGCTTGCTGATATGGCATTCCTGGCGGTCGATTTCCGTAGTGACTCTCCGTTTTCTGGCGATCGACTTTTTCAATAGATTTCTGGTTCAAGGGTTCTGTAAGCTGTTCGGCACAAGTCCTCCTAACCCGGAAGAGAAATCGAGTAACCAAAGTTTTGTCCATGTAGTCAAGATACGCACTCCTATAATTGAGGAGTGAATGCTCGACGAACAAACCTTTCAGTCCTTTTGACACAAACCCAGCGTTGCTACTTTGGTGTCTCAACAAGGCCACCAGACTCGGTTTTCTGGCTTACCGTCTGAGACGGCCGTGCAGGGCAGATTGCTGATGATTTGGACCCGCTTTGGCGAGTGGAGCAGCTCAAAGGCTTGGAGAAGGTCGAAAATGGAGTACACATCATCAAGCAGCTGCACACAGATGCAAAAGCGGCAGAAGGATAGTTCGGGTAGTCATTTGCGTACTTTCCTACCAATCGGACATTTCAAGGGACCATACGTCCAATCCCTTAAGTATCCGGTGGCCAGCTAGCTGAACAGATGGGCGAGGGAAAACGCTACACGACGTTCTCTTTAGGGCGAGGGTTTCTCAGAACGCAATGGCAAAGCTTAAGGTAGAGGCCCGTGAGACAAGCAGCTTTCAAGCCGAGACAAAGCTACGAGGGACGGATACGTTGACGGCTACTGAAGAGAAACCCCCCTCTTACACTTGTTAGGGTCTAAAGAGTCCCAATGGGTCGAAACTCACGTAATGACCCATGTTAAAATTCTCGCTGACAGGATGATAGATTGCGCTAATGCCTGCACACAACAAAGGCGTACATGTCATCATTCAAAAGTTTCTCCGCAATGTCGGGCTCTTCAGAGAAAGCTTTTCGGAAGCTGATGTGGAACATACGCAGGCGCAACGCCTCCTTAACTTCAACGCCGCAGAAACAATGCAGGTCAAAGCTTCTTTCTCAAGCAAAGTGCAAAGCGTGGCACAGATGTGACGATGCAAAAAGTTGTCTGGAGACCGATTGAGAGTCTAGTCGCACCTGGAACGTAGGAGACGTTCCAATAGGACTCAGGAAACGTGTTATTCACAGCCCAGACGTCTGCCTCCGGATTGATTCCTGCACGCGCAGGGTAGAGGCAGAATTGAACGAAAGATGAAGAGCAGATGTATTAAACTGCAGATTGGTCATCTTTATCATGCAAATCTGATCTGCGTTGATAACTTTCTCCGCAAGCCTTTTGCTCTCTGTCGAGGTGGCATAGCAAGCTTGCCTGAGGAAGGAAAGCGTCTGACACGGTAGAAAGAATAGGAGATCTTTTGGAAGTGTGACTTGGTCGTCTTGGTCAGTTACCTGACTCTCTGGAACACACGCTATCTTTGATTAGCTGCAGACTTTCTCCGCTCAATTAAGCTAGTGGCTCAAAACGCATGCACACAAACGCTTGAAAACCATGACTTATGTGGACCTGAGGTTGCCCAAGGAACAATTGGCGCACCTTCTCCAGACATTGCGTTGGTCTTGTAAGCCACGTAAGGGCTGAAGAACGAAGTTTGCGGGGGTTGATCGACAGGAAAAACTTGCGGCCAGCGAAATGCTGGGTCGACATAGTAGTACATTCCTCTGCAAAGTCGGGGAGGCATTGTTCGTCAATGAAAACGAACGAACAGCAAACGACGCTGTGTGTTTTGCAGCGTTCATAGGCTCTCTTAGATAGAGACCCCTGCATCCACAACGTCTGATGAATGGAAGTGGGTTCAACATCTGAACGCCAAGAGCCTATAAATAGAGCTTGAAGATCCATCACCTGCCAAGTGATGGATCTACAGTGACTTAGGAGCCGTAGTGCTGAACATGTGTGTCCTGACAGAAAGTTTCATCCATTGAAATGCAAAGTGCCTCACACTGTTAATCCTGACCAACTTTTAACCAAAAGGGCAATCAATCTCTTCCTCAGTCAAAACATTGTTGCAGCACTGTTTGGCACCACTTCCAAGGATCCCGGCATGCCGGTTGTCGCTCACACTTACTTTTACATGCACCTCTTCCTGCGGCAAACGCATCCCTGCAACCTCCTTATGTCACTACTTTTACTTAGCAGCCTTTCCTCACCTAGCCTTGTAGTTGTAGCACACGTTGTGGAAGGAGCACTTCCTATAGACCCACTCCGGAGACTCGTGATAGCCCACACATCGGTGCCTCGAGTACTTTGGGCGGCCGTCCGGTAGTGTTAACGAGTCCAGCCCCAGGTGCCTTTTCACACCACTTGGCAGCTTGATGTGCACACTCTTAGACGCTTGAATCCGCTCTGAGACTTTGTAGTTGAACTGGATAAACTGCGGGGTCCACATTCCTGGGTGGCTGGAACGCCCGAGAATGAAGCCCAGCGATAGAAGGGGGAGAATAACGAGTGCCGCCGTTGCGAAAGGGCTTGCGAGCAGCCGTGTGTGCGATTGTGTCGTCATCTTCTGATCAAGGGCAGAAAGCAGAAGTTTAGGGCTTGAACTTGGTGCTTTATGCAAAACCGCTATCAAATGGCTCTCGTAAGCTGGCCAAGTTCTAATGAAAGCTCTTGAAGGAAACTCAGGGTTATGTTTACGCAATCTTCAGCAGGTCAGAAGGAAGGGGGGATCAGTGTTGTAAGGTTGATGCGCCCTGCTGTTGAGCAACCAAGCATTGAGCCATTGAGCCACCACTACTTTTTGTTGCCTTGTGCTTCTGACTGGATCTGCCTTGCTTGATTCTACGGAAGAAAAAGAATTATTTGCTAGGAAACACTTTCAGATCTAGAAAGCTGCTTGACAGGTGACAGGGCAATCCTAACAATGCCTCTTTAAATAGCATTGGTAGATCTGGACATCCCGTCTACGTCCCAGAGAAACAAATGATCGAGGCCTTGGGTAAAATACGTACCATAACCTTACAGGTCCAGATGACAAGACGCAGGTCGCATCCAACCGATTTGCAAGCCAGCTGTGTGAGTCCTACGTAAAAGCTGCACATGAAGAAAATCTGACAGCTAGGAAACGTGAAAGCTGCAAGCCCCTCTTTCAAGGCTTTCATGCCCCCCTTTTGCATTATGCGTCACATCAATCTGCTGGAAAGCAACAACCATTGAAGCTCAAAGATTCCAGGGGCGCCACAAAGACATTGACGGGTTGCTGCTCATTGGGTTCTCTTCTGTGCCATGATTGTTACGCCTGATCCGTTGATTGGGATTACGTCATGCCTGACCTAGAGCTCAGCTCGTCTTGCAATGTTCTAGTTTGATTGATGAGATGACAGTAGCTCCTTCAGTTTCGCTGGCCACAATGGCAAATCTAGGGCAACCCTGTGCCAAAGCCGCCAGTATCTAGCTCATGTAACACTAATATGCTGAATGGATGATCCCTCTTTCCTTTCTTCATCAGAATCTAGCCATCTCCAATGCAGCAGCCAGCTCCTTGCACAATGCTGCATCATGCTAATTGCTCACGAGTCACTGCGTCCACCACTGGTGCCAATTGACGAGCCGTCACGATTGCCGTCCAGCAGATTCAACCGAGGGGCCTCGGCCAAAGGCGCAGACTCGTCACACAGGTAGGGTTAGTTGAATGAGACGACCCGACCGAAGCGACCGGTCCCTTGACTGCCGAAACGGCAGTCGGCCTGGAAGCGGTGCAGCAGCGACCGATCGACAAGCCCAACCGGATCGCATTACTCCGGAAGCTGCCACGTGGAAGCCCGACCTAGCGTTCCGCCCCGGCCGCCAGGCGATGCGGAATGCGCCGACATTCCGAGTCACCGTGACGCCCATTCGCGCGCGTGGGGCCTCCAAGTGGGCGGGCCGTTTAATCATTCTACATGCGGTTAGTCACATAGCTCGAGTTACCTTGAATTCGCCTCTAACGCGTATGTAGCAATTCTGCGGTAACCCTGGGGTTACGTAAGTCAGGATACTGTTGTGAAATTCTGATGTTCGTTGAGGGCCCGACCGGGCCTCGGTAGGGTCCTAATCTGCCAGATTCTGAAGATTCTTGCAGATGCAATATGACGTTTAATAAGACTTCAGCTTTGAAGTCCGCTCAGCTGGAAATGTCAAGCCGGGGTGCCGCTTGTCATGTCCAACAATATGCCTGAGTACCGTTCCCTTACAGTTGATACAGTTGAGTCACTCGGGGCTCACTACCATTGCGTATGCTAGCAGGCCCATGCATAAAAACGGGCCTTTACACGCAAAGAAAGCTAAGAAAGATAATGTAGCGGCACAATAATATTCAATCCACATCCTTTTACCAAGTCAGCCTGAGATTTTCCCTAAGAAGATTGAAATTTTGTTAGTTCAGACTCACAGAAACGACTCATCGTATCTTAGAATTTGTGCAGGCACGTATCGCATGTAAAAGTAGCCAGTGTTCGATTCTGTCTAGAAGAGCTTCGAGCCAACGTCTCAACTTGTCATCGAACCGCAAAGCGTACGGAGCTTCAAGTTCTTAAGCTCCGACTGAGAGACTCGGAAATTGTGTGCTGAATTACCGTTTGGAATATTTGTAAAATCGATCAGGCAAGGACGAAAAGACAGGTATAATTAAATGAGCCTTTAAAGCTAGTGCAAAACAATAATTTAGTCTGTGCTCGGACTGTAGAAGGTGTCTAGATCTCATAACAGAACCCCAGATCCTGAGAGCGAGACGTTGTTCGCTGCTTGAATCAAGTTCTTACTCGATAAACTACCTACATATGCATAGCGTAACAGCTGATTCCAATCCTCAGTTGCCCACGTGGCACTCTGTTGCCATCGATGACAGTA